TGCATGACTTGGTAAATATAATATGATATCCACTAGATATATGAGTAAGAATAAATAAAAATAAAGAAATAAAGAAAAACAAATTATCTTCTCTCTGATCTATCTTTAGCTTTACCCTTTTGCTTGGCTTCATTTGCCTTCTTCAATTTACATTGATGCAATACCCCAGGTTTTATTTGCCCATTCTTGGAGTAAAATGACACAGCCATACCTCTAGTGACTGATGAGTGGCTGAGTCGGTGCCTCCTGAGGGAAACATATTCCCTTCCAAAGCTGAAAGATCGCTCAACATCCACCGTTGTTGCTGTGGTAGATTTAAGGGAATTGGTACAGAAATACAATACAAAGATATGATAGAAGAAAAACTCACCCGGACAGCTTAACACATCAAGGGCCATCTGTAGCAGACCCCCGTGAGTATTCCCAACATGCCGTTGTTGCATCCACCATTTGAGGGGATCCACCGGCCGTTCGTCTTTGGTTAAGGTCAAACCTTCAGCAAGCCACAAGAGAATTGGATCCATCAGGTTTGTCCCTCCACGAGCTACTTTTGCACCAACCAAACCCGCAAGAACTCCTTTCTGAGGCTGTATTCCATTTTGAAACAAAGTATTAGCTATAATTTTTGACAGAGTAGGAAAATGATAAGCAGTGCATATCCCATTTAATCACCTTTGGACAGGTGTTTGATCGTTGTGACATGGTTGCCTGAGGTGCTGGTGGAGGTTTGTAGTGATTTTCCCACATCTCACGGGTTAGTCTGATTGATTCTTCGATCCATTCTGGTTCCCATTGAGCAAGTTTGAAGTATTCGTCTTTGAAAGAAGGATGGAGGACTGTAGAGTAACCATTAGTTTACTGTGATGTCAGCAGTAATGATGAAACAGAAAAACTTACCCATAGCGACCCGGTATAACGGTGAGCAGTCTGTCAGAGTATAGTACTTATTAGTGATATGAAGTCCAGCACGACAAGCATTTCTAATGGCAGGGGGGTAATTGTCCCGTTTATCGGAGATGGCAGAAGAAAGATGGCTAGTGATCTGGTCAATGAAGACAACAATGTCGGCAATTCGAGCTGCACCGGCAGTGGAGACCTGGAGGGTGATTTCGTAGAAGGGTTGAAGAAGCTCGACCAGGTCACGCGCTAAGTCAAGATCGTTTTGGTTGATGTGATGAGATCGAGCAGGACCATGACGTTTATCCTTCTGCCACTCAAGGCTTAAAATTACAATTAACATATCTTATCAGCACTGATCATCTGATCAGTGAGGAGTTGAGTAGGAAACAAAAAACTCACATTGCTGCTGAGCATCGCAGGATACCTGACAATTGTTCGAAAGTCAAATTCCACCGTGTGCGAACGTCACGAGTGATATTGTGTGGCGTTGAACACTCAAGATCACCACAGACCTCTTTGAAAAGAGCCT